ATACGTCCAAATGTTGGTCAGCGATGGCATCCCTGACCAGAATATTGCGTCTCATGAGGTCGTTGTGCGAGAAGACTACCGGACTGTCAACCTGTTTGCACACACGTCTGACCCAATCTATCTCTTTCAACAGATCCAGTGATGCGAATGTCTTGTAGTTATTCTTCTGGATCTCTTGGCGGACTAACCCGTGTTTATATGACTCCCGATCCGATTCTGAGAACCAGATCTCTAAGTTTAGCTTTAGATGCGATTCTGTGCTGTCTTTAGGTATCGGCATATCTATTGAATGCAGTTTTGCCACCTTTTGTGCCAACACTGCAACTGCTGTGGGGTTCATGTCATCGGCAGCAGTGAAATAACGCGACTAATTATGCGCAGAAATTAATTAATACAACAATAATTATAATTCAATTTATAATTTCATACATCAATGAATTCACAGATATTTCCCGTTTCAAAGACGGCCAACACTTTCGGTGCGATATTATTCTCGGATAAAATAATATTAACGGCCGATAAATAGGTTAGATTTATGCCCGAACTCTTCAGATAATCTACATTTTGATATTTGACCACAACTTTCGGGTATTTTGTTTGTGGGTTATTTGAGTTGGCGAGAGAACAGTATAGTGTTTTATTCACATATCCGTTCCTGGTAAATATACATGGCATTTATGGAATTGAATAAATATGCCTCTTTTATAATGAAATAATTTTTACTGATACTTACGCCGCGTATTTTATGACCAGATCGTCGGCGGAAACGTCACTCCATTCGCCGCCTAAATATGTTTTGCATAATTGCCACACATTTAACCGATTCTCAGCTGAAACACTGCTTTCCATTAGAAAATTTTTATTTATATTAAATATCAATTAATTTTTTCAAATAGAATTTTTATGTTATAAAGCTACTTTATATTGAGTTGCATTTTTATAAAAATATCTATATTTTACTTTTATCAGTCAATATAAGTCTCGTATCAGTCAATTTTTATCAGTTAAAATACGGGCTTAAGTATTAGCAAAATTTGTTTGATAATAATTAATTAGAGATCATTGCTAATTAGTGTTTTGCTGAATTTGATTTGGGTAACATAAAGTACAGCATTTAAATTTTACTTAAATAACTCAAACAATTTAAAAATGAAAGTAATATTAAACACGTAATTATTAAATATAACAATTCAATAAATTCAAATAAATAGAAATACAGTGAAGAATACAGTAAAAACAGTCTCATGTACTGTATATCAGTTTATAAAATTATTTTTAATTCTTGTTATAAAATTATTAGACTATATTTTATCAATTAATTTTCAAATAGACATGATCATTTATTTAAGTTCCGGATATTCGTCAAATATACGTTCCTTTAGTTCTTTGTAAACTTTATATCTTTGTTCTCCTTTAGGCTATTGTAAGAAATATAAGATTTATTACAAATACAAAGGTATTACTAGTTAATCATATTTACCATCATTTCTAACTTTCCATCTCTACCGTACAATTGACAACAATAACAAACTTCCTTAATATAACCCAATAAAGCAAACACTTTCGCCTCCATTATAAGCCTTTTTCTCGAATTGATCTCCAATTGTGTAAAAGAGTTGCCATTAATTGCTGTCATTTCCCGGATATAGGCGTCGATGAAGACCAGCATCTGGTCATCGGTAGGAAAGGGTTCCCCACCGAAGTCCAGCTCCGTTTGGCACCAATTCATAAAATAATCGCCAAAGTCTGCGCCCCTATAGGTATAGCAACACCAGTCCCAGTCAATTATGTAAACGTCTAAACCCTGGTCAACCTCTCCCTCCCGGACCAAAGTATTGCGCCGATTGAGGTCGGCGTGCGAGAAGACTACGGGACAGTCAATCTTTTCGCACATACCTCTGAGCCAATCCATCTCTTCTAACAGATCCACTGACATCAGTGTCTTGTAGTCATTCTTATTCTTCTGGATCTCTTGGCGAACCGACCCGTCTCTATAGGACTCCCGATCACACTCTGGGAACCAATCCTCCAGAATTATTCTCATATACCAGTCGGCGCTGTCTTTAGGTATCGGCATATTTAGTGAATGCAATTTTGCCACTTTTTGTGCCAACACTGACACTGCCATAGGGTTGAGGTCATCGCCGGCGTTGAAATAGTGAGACTATTTTTATGTGTAATTTAAAAATTAAAATTATGTAAGAATTTTATGATAATTTATTATTTCATACATCAATATATTCACAGATATTTCCCTTTTCAAAGACGGCCAACATTTTGGGCGCTATATTATTCTCGGATAAAATTACATTAACTGCTAATAAATGGGTTAGATTTACGCCACATTTCTCGAGAGAATCATTAAGGTATTTAACCACTACTTTTGGATATTTTACTTGTTCATGGTCAATCGAGTCGGGGAGAAAACAAAATAATATTTTGTTCACAAATCCGCCCCTAATCAAATAAAGCATTATTATTATTAACTATTGTTGTCAAACAATTTTTACGTCACTTACGTCGCGGGTTTGATAACCAGATCGTCGGCGCAAACATTACTCCATTCGCCGCCTAAATATGTTTTGCATAATTGCCACACATTTAACCGATCCTCAGCTGAAACACTGCTTTCCATTAGAAAATAGTAATTAATAAAATTAATTATTTCCAAATTTAATTAACACTGAATATTAAGTTACCTTTATATAGTGAGTTTTTACTTATATATAATGAACGGCATTTCCCAAGTTTTCAAAATATCTTCCAGGAAAATAGTTTTGCGCCGGAAAATTCTTTATATTCCTTAAAATTGGGAATATAAAACAAAAATGTGGTCAAACAATGACCAATCAATGTATATAAATACTTTTAACTTAATGAATACATGTATCCTAATATGCTTAAGCATAATATAACAAATAATTTTGTTAAAACAAATGAGTTGGTTTAATTAAAATTAATTTGTATTTTTTTGTCATATTTTAAAAATTGCGCTCTAATGAGCAAAGCATCGACACAACTTTATATGCTATTGAATTGTCTGTTCAACAGACTCTGTTGTATTGGTTTATGTGTCACTTATTTGTACATAAATTACACACGGTTTTAGTACGAGTTTTTTGTATCCCTTGTGTTTTATTTACTAATTAAATTAACTTTTATTATTATATTTAATTGTTTTTATGTTAAATAAATTACCATTTACATGTTACGGCATTAGTGCAGATAACTGACATTAGCGGGTATTAAATTAATGCACCAATGCCTTATAATAATTAAACGCTAGAGTCATTTAGATTTGTCAGTGTTTTGTGATAACCATGTGCTTAAATCATAAATGATTACAATCGTAATAAAATGCCGAGAATAACTAACGATCGTTTGTGGTTACACTGGACGGACTATGCGGGCACTTTATGGACTGTCATTAAAGTACCTGATAATGATAATGAGATAAATGAATTCAATTATACTGAATAAATATGAAAGTTATATGTTTAGGGGCGCAGACTTTGGCGACTATTTTATCAATTGGTGCCAAACAGAGCTGGACTTCGGCGACAAACCCTTTCCTACCGATGACCAGATGCTGGTCTTCATCGACGCCTATATCCGTGAAATGACAGCAATTAATGGCAACTCTTTTACACAATTGGAGATCAATTCACACCAAAGGCTTATAAAGGAGGCAAAAGTGTTGGGTTTGTTTTCGTACATGAAAATGATTACCTGGACAAATTCTATTACCAATAAAAACGGAACACCAGAAATGATGGTAAATATTGTTATTTTAAATCAATATTTATTAAATTATTTATATTTTTATTTGTAGCCTAAAGGCGAGCAAACATTCAAAAACTATAAGTTATTAAAGGATCGACTAATTGAAGACTATCCAGAATTTGAATAAAGCATCATGATGTAGACTGTTTATAAAGGTATCAAATTCTATTTAATTGCTAATATTGAACATAGTTAACATGAAACATTTATTGAGTTAATTGTAAATCAGTGAACATTAATCAATTAAGTTAAATTTATATTTAATAATTTTAATGTACAATGTAATCATTACCTTGTAATGTATTAAATATATTTTAAAAATTAATAAAATAAAACGTTTTTAATTTTTAATTTATTCATACAAAATAAATTTTGTAAAACTTATGTACGATACATAGTTACATAATTTTATTTTCAGTAAGTTATTAAAGTTTAATGGCGTTAATTTAATATTAATTCTTAATAAATTAAATTTGGATTAATGGATGTTTAGTCAATCAAGAACAATTTTATTAAAAATTTTTACATTTTAATTATTGTAGATTTTAGGATGTAGATTCCTACAAACTTAATATAGGATTTATCACTAGCCCATAGGAAAGCATTGAAATAGACCTATCTTTATCAAGCTGTAAATACCAAAGTACATGTTCAATTTTAATAATTCTTTTTTATATTAATCATGAGTTATCCCTATACAAATTATAAATGTGACCATTTCTATATTTCTTATACTTTAATTGCACTATTAATACTGGGATTTTCATTAAATATGGTCACTTTGGCTTTATTACTCTAGTTGTCTACCAATCTGTACGTAATGTATGGCAGAGGGCGGCAGTCAATGAGTTATTGCTTGTGTTGTTACTCGTCGTCATAGTTCAAAATACAGCTGTTACCAAAACTCGTACCTAAAAGTAAGTATTTTGAGCATATCTAGGTATTTTGAGTACTGTATGGATAATGTTTACATTTATAAGTTGTCATACATGTAAAACTTTGTATATAAAAGTGACTCTTTATATTCATTACAAATTCATTTTAAAAACTTTTGTGATTTAATATAAATTAATTTTTTTATATGGAAAGCAGTGTTTCAACTGAGGATCGGTTAAATGTGTGGCAATTATGCAAAACATATTTAGGCGGCGAATGGAGTGATGTTTGCGCCGACGATCTGGTCATTACAACCGCGGTGTAAGTATGATATTACAAAAATTAGCAAAAATTGTTTGATAACAAAAAGGGCATATTTATTTAATTCCAAAAATGCCATGTATAATCACCAGGAATGGATTTGTGAATAAAACACTATATTGTTTTCTGCCCAACACTAATAATCCGCAAACAAAATACCCTAAAGTTGTGGTCAAATATCAAAATAGCAATTATCTGGAGAAATGTGGTGTAAATCTAAACCATTTGTTGGCAATTAATGTGATTTTATCCGAGAATAATATATCGCCGAAAGTGTTGGCCGTCTTTGAAACGGGAAATATCTGTGAATTCATTGACGTATGAAATGATAAATTGAATTATTATTGTTATATAATTAGTAATTGATTTCTATACACAATTAGTCGCGTTATTTCACTGCTGCCGATGACATGAACCCCACAGCAGTGGCAGTGTTGGCACAAAAGGTGGCAAAACTGCATTCAATAGATATGCCGATACCTAAAGACAGCACAGAATCGCATCTGAAAATGAATTTAGAGGTCTGGTTCTCAGAGTTGAATCGGGAGTCATATAAACACGGGTTAGTCCGCGAGGAGATCCAGAAGAATAACTACAAGACATTCATGTCAGTGGATCTGTTAAAAGAGATAGATTGGGTCAGACGTGTGTGCAAACAGGTTGACAGTCCGGTAGTCTTCTCGCACAACGACCTCATGAGACGCAATATTCTGGTCAGGGATGCCATCGCTGACCAACATTTGGACGTATACNAAAGAGATAGATTGGGTCAGACGTGTGTGCAAACAGGTTGACAGTCCGGTAGTCTTCTCGCACAACGACCTCATGAGACGCAATATTCTGGTCAGGGATGCCATCGCTGACCAACATTTGGACGTATACCTGATTGACTTGGATTGGAGTAGTTATATGTTTAGGGGCGCAGACTTTGGCGACTATTTTATCAATTGGTGCCAAACAGAGCTGGACTTCGGCGACAAACCCTTTCCTACCGATGACCAGATGCTGGTCTTCATCGACGCCTATATCCGGGAAATGACAGCAANGTTATATGTTTAGGGGCGCAGACTTTGGCGACTATTTTATCAATTGGTGCCAAACAGAGCTGGACTTCGGCGACAAACCCTTTCCTACCGATGACCAGATGCTGGTCTTCATCGACGCCTATATCCGGGAAATGACAGCAATTAATGGCAACTCTTTTACACAATTGGAGATCAATTCACGTCAAAGGCTTATAAAGGAGGCGAAAGTGTTGGGTTTGTTTTCATATATGAAAATGGTGACCTGGGCAATTAGAACAATAGAAATGATGGTAAATATTGTTATTTTAGATTTATATTTATTAAATTACTATTTTTAAAATTTATTTTTAGCCTAAAGGAGAGCAAACATTTAAAAACTATAAGTTATTAAAGGAACGACTAATCGAAGACTATCCAGAATTTAAATAAAGCATTATAAATAATTGATTAAGTTAAATTTATGTTTAATAATTTCAATGTACAATTTAATCATTACCTTGTAATGTATTTTTTATATTTAAAAAATTAATATGTAATAATTAGGTTATAACAATGTTTAATTACTTTTTTTACTTTTTAAGTTATTCATATAAAATAAATTCTGTAAAACTTACATAACAAAGTTAAATAATTAAGAACTGTATAAAAATACACTGTTTACACGGTATTAACATACTGTAACTAAATTGAATAAATAAATATACAATATTTTACAAAATTTTTTTAATAAAAAATTAATATTATTAAATAGTGAGTAATTACTGTTACATACTCATTAGAAATGTTATTTTCAGTAAGTTATTAAAATTTAATGGCATTAATTCAAGATTAATTTTTAATAAATTAAATTTGGATTAATGGATGTTTAGTCAATCAACAACAATTTGATTTGAAATTTTCACATGTTGATTATTGTAGATTTTCAAGACCTAGCCTATTTCTGTAAATTGTTGTCTCATCTGTTATATGCCTGTTAAATTAGGTGGTATTAATTTTATAGATTTTACCATGATTAGTTATTAGTTTATCTGGCATACTATTTAATTTTTTCCAACTGTATTATTTATTTATTATTTATTGAAATATAGTTCACATAATATGACAATTATTAGCTACTCCAGTATGAATCTACTTTTGACTTTTACAAGTTATTGTTTAAATATTAGAATTTATACAAAGTTTTGCGGGCTATAAGTATAATTATTTGTAAATTTTTTATTCCTAAGATAATAAACTTTGATCAGCGGTCTATTCACTGCACTAATCATCTATTATCCCCCATTGTGTCACCAATTTTTCAATTTCCTAATTAAAGATTAAACTTGATTTTAANCAGCGGTCTATTCACTGCACTAATCATCTATTATCCCCCATTGTGTCACCAATTTTTCAATTTCCTAATTGAAGATTAAACTTGATTTTAAGACCAAAAACTGAAGACACCCCCGATTTGATGACATTTGCCATTTTTAACACCATTTCTCTCTCACACATTAGAAATGTTGGGTATCTGTGGTAATCAGTAGGAGGTATATCAGTGTTGATGGCAGTGTGAGTATAGATTTTATACCTCTTGTTATTAAACTTTAATTGGGGTTTTATTTTCAAAATTACTTTTTTCGGGAATTTTTTTAGCATTGAAATACTTTAAAACACCGTTAATTTAATCGCTAGCCGTTTGTAAACATCTCTAAGTGATCCTCAATAGTCTATTCACTGCATCCCTACCCTATAAACATATCATCAGCCAATATGTTTGACATCGGAGTCCCGAACCAGTTTATACACACCCGATAAGTGACCAAACATCGGGTGACCACCACGGCTACAATCAAGGGCGCGGCACATTTTTAGCTATAGCGGTCATTGATGCCCACTTATATAATTTACATTATAAATGTGTTTAAATTTTCGAGTGAGAAATCGCGTCAAATAAGCTCTTTATAAAGGGTAAAGTTCAATGTTAATGGGTGCTGGGCCCAAAAATTTTATATTAAAAAATTTTATTTTTTTTAATTTGTGAAATTAATTATCATCGTAAGCATAATTAAAATTTATATAACTGATGTTCAGTAATGACGCATTCACTATAAAAAACGTACATAACTGATACTAAATTTCTTAATTTTTATATAACTTTTATCTCTTATGTCAGATTTGAGAAATTCCTTCGGATTTCGATTCTACTCTTCAATACCTTTCCATTGATATATAATATAATATACTTATTCATAGGATACAAGATTTGACATTCAAATTTTTCCCGATAAAAGTGGTCACTGCGGCCAAACCGGGGATCATCTGGCCAAATAAATTATACCACCGTTCGTCCTACAGAGTGTACTTTCGATTTATAACAATAATTCCCGATTGCACTCTGGGCCCAATTTGAACATTATCATTTGTATAAAACAATGTCTAATATGTGTTGCCGTACGGGTGGCCAGACATCGGTTGGACAGACATTAGTAAGCGATTTGGACACAAATATACATAAACCAATAATGAATGGATATTTAAGGCCAATAATGAGTACACCTACTCATTCTAAACATCTAGATAATCCATTTACAAATAATGATACTTTTAACCCGCATAACTTTATATAAATAGTAATAATACTTAAATTCTGTGTTTCACGTGCAACAAAAACTCATTATTACACTAGTCAATTTATATTACTCGTCATCATAGTAAAAATACAGCTGTTACCAAAACTCGTACCTAGAATTAATCTAATTATTTTAAGTACTGTGTCGATAATATTTACATTTATCAGTTGTCATACATGTAAAACTTTGTATATAAAAGTGACTTTATATTCATTACTAATTAATTTAAAAAACTAATTAATTTAATATAAATTATTTTTCCAAATGGAAAGCATTGTCTTAGCGGAAGATCGGCTTAATGTGTGTCATTTATGTAAAATATATTTAGGCGGCGATTGGAGTGATGTTTGTGCCGACCAATTGGTCATTAAATCCGCGGCGTAAGTATTAGCAAAAAATTTTTAAATAGCAACTAATTCATTAATTTTCATAAATACCATGTTTAATCACAAGGAACGGGTTTGTGAGTAAAACATTATACTGTTTTCTCCCCGACACTAATGATCGACAAACAAAATACTCAAAAGTTGTGGTCAAATATCAAAATTTCAATTATCTGGAGAGATGTGGTGTAAATCTAAACCATTTGTCGGCAATTAATGTGATTTTATCCGAGAATAATATATCACCAAAAATGTTGGCCGTCTTTGATAAGGGGAATATTTGCGAATTTATCCAGGTACTGTTCAATTTAATTATACTGTAATTATTATTGCTATAATAATTAATTTATGCGCAAAACTAGTCACGTTATTTCAACGCCGGCGATGACCTGAACCCTATGGCAGTGTCTTTGTTGGCACAAAAAGTGGCAAAATTTCATTCACAAGATATGCCGACACCAAAGGACAGCACCGACTGGTATATGAAAATGCTTTTTGATGGCGGGTTCCCAGAGACCGATCGGGAGTCCTATAGACATGGTTTGGTTCGCGAAGAGATCCGGAAGAATGACTACAAGACATTGATGTCAGTGGATCTGTTGGAAGAGATACATTGGATTATACGTGTGTCCGCACAGGTGAACAGTCCGATAGTGTTTGCGCACAACGATCTCGTGAGGCGTAATATTCTGGTCAGGGATGCCGGCGCTGACCAGCCTATGGACGTATACCTTATCGACTTTGACTGGAGTTGTTATATGTTTAGAGGCATAGACTTTGGCGACTATTTTATGAATTGGTGCCAAACAGAGCTGGACTTCGGCGACAAACCCTTCCCCACCGATGACCAGATGCTGGTCTTCATCGACGCCTATATCCGGGAAATGACAGCAATTAATGGCAACTCTTTTACACAATTGGAGATCAATTCACGACAAAGGCTATTAAAGGAAGCGAAAGTTTTTTCATTGCTATGTTTCATGAAAATGATTGTCTGGTCTGTTCAGGAGCACAACGTTCATAGACATGAAATGATGGTAAATTTGATATTTACTTTACATTTATTTAATTAAATATTTTTAATTTTTAGCCTAAAGGAGAGAAAATATTCAAAAGTTATAAAGTATTAAAGGATCGTCTATTGGATAAATATCCCGAATTTCAATAAATGATTATGGACCATGGTTATTTGAATTAAACAGAATTTAGAAAATTCTAAATTCGAATTACATATTTTAAATGAAGAATTTACAAAATTGAATTTAACTCACCATGAATTAATTGATGAAGTTTTATTAATAAACATTATTACTCTAATTAAAGATAATTATTTTTTTATTCATAAAACATAAGTTATGTAATTTTAAAATAATTATTTAGGATTTAATTACTTTAGTATTTAATTAATTTAAAATTAAGTATTGTGTGAAAATATACTGTTTAATCAGAATTAATATAAATGTAATAAATAGATATGACCTCGCTCCTTATCATATATTGTCAATACTTATCAATACTTTCATTTATATAACTTTAAGTATTATAACTAACATTTAGAGTGCAATTTATTTAGTTTATATTTCTATATAAATTGACATTTTTATAACAATTTTTAGTTTAATTAATAAAATATTTACTTTGTATTAATTATATGAAAATAAACAATATATTCAAATGGAAATCCTATCTGACGCCAAACGGATTAAATTATATGAATTGTGTAAAACATTATTGAGTGGCAAATGGGCTAATATTAATGAAAATGACCTCATTATTACACAAAACAAGTAAGATTATTAAATACAATTTTTTATTAATTTTGCAAGCTACAATAATAATTTTTATAATATAATAATATTATTTAAAATTGCATTTTTTAAATTGAATTAAGGGATGGCTTTACAAATGAGTTGTTTTATTGTTTTCTTCCCGAAAATAATAATCAAACGAAATATAATAAAGTTGTGGTCAGAAGTCAGGAGCAAAATGAATGGTCCGAATATTTCAATGCCCATCAGGTGCTCGCTATTGGACTCATAGCATCCCATTTGGGTTTAGCGCCTAAAATACTGGGCGTATTTGACAACGGGATCATTAGTGAATTCATTAATGTAATTATCAATGAGTTTTAAAAGTTAATATTTAAAAATATATCTATTTATACAATTAGTGCCGGTATTTCAGCGGTAGTGATGATCGCAACCCGAGAGCAGTGGCACTATTAGCGCAACGGTTGGCCCGATTGCACACAACGGAAATGCCGGTCCCTAAAGACAAATCGCATGAATTTATAAACAATATTTTTGGCATCAAATGGTTTGATGAAAGACAGAGACAGTCATTACGTGAGGGAAAGGCTTATCAGGAAATACAGAAACACCGATACGAGACGTTTCAGACATTGGATCTGTTGGCAGAGATGTCGTGGCTTAAGAAGATTGTGGTCGACCTCAAGAGTCCGATTGTCTTCTCTCACAATGACTTCAATCGCAAAAACATTTTAATGCGCGAAACGAATGATGAAAACTCGCAACAAATGGACATTTATTTTATTGATTTTGATTTCTCGACGTATAATCATAGGGGCATTGATTTTGGTCACTATTTTAGTAGTTGGGGTCAAAACGATGCACAGTTTGGTTTGGCTGACTACCCGACCGATGACCAGATGCTGGTCTTCATCGACGCCTATATCCGTGAAATGACAGCAATTAATGGCAACTCTTTTACACAATTGGAGATCAATTCACGACAAAGGCTTATAAAGGAGGCGAAAGTGTTTTCATTGGTTACATTTATTATTGACACCCAGTGGTGTATATATCAAGTAGAGTATCAGGATCAAACCGAGGCAATGGTAAGTTTAACATGTTAATTTTGGGCTTATTTATTATGATTTACATAATTTATTTTATTAGATTAATGCTGAGAAGAGGTTTAAATGCTATCATAATCTGAAGAAACAAATACAAAAAGAGTATTCATTATAATTTATTTGTAATGTAAAGTTTACTTAATATAATTTGGTATATTATGCTAATATATCCTGATATAAATTAATAAATATTGTTATTAATAAGCAAACAAGATTGTTAATAAAATATAATTTGAATAATAAAATTTTGCATAAAAATTGATAAAATGTTTTTATTAAATATTAAATATTAAATAAATAAAATAAATTTTATTAAAAGTAATATTTGTTCTTGAAAGGGATTATAAATTAAAATTAATTTCAATTGTAAATGATTTATATTTAAGGGCAAAGATATTATTAGAATGAAATATATTTCATACAAATTTATCGTGAATAAATTTCTAATTGTAACATGACATAACATTTGTAATGTTGGATACATGTGCCTGCCACATTTGCATTTCCTAGTAGATAAGCATTATACGTAAACTAGTTTTGAATTATAAATAGTTGCAAATTTAGATATATAAAAATCAATAATCAACTTATTTATATTAATTTACTACCAAAATGGTTATTCTTGAAGGCGTGGTAAGAAAATGCGATTAAAATTCAGTAAAATTCAAATACAGTTCAACTTGTATATAAGAAACGATAAGTGTTCCTTAGGAGTAGGTGTTCCTCCAAGAGAGGTTTTTTCAAGAAAGTTGGACTGTATCTAAATTATTAAAATTGATAATAGTTATTTTGTTTCCATATACTGTATATTGCAAATTTAATTTTAATTTAATTGCTTATGATCTATTTAGAGTAAAGTTAAAAATACAGACCATAAATATAATAGAGATGAGTTGGCGATGGGTTGGTGTGACTTGAGTTACGGCCGAAAGGGTCTGTTTGGCCGAAATCGTGAGCCGAACACTATTTTGCACGCATTGAACGGTAGAATCGCTTTCCACTCATTGACGGCACTCATGGGTCCGTCGGGTGCGGGAAAGTCAACGCTATTGAAGTGCGTGAATATGCGCTCAAACAGAGGTCTCAGCGCAGAAACACAACTCTTTGTCAACAAATCAACTCAATTGAGGACCGCTTTTATTATGCAATCAGAAGACGAACACATTCTCAATGGATTAACTGTTAGGTTAGTTATTATTCAGATTAACCATGTACAGTGTTTGTGGTTAAATATCACTTTAAAGTGAATGCGTTAAAAGCCATGAATTGATTCTTACATTTAGTTATTGTTAATTATTCTTAATTAATAGAATTCACAATTATTTTAAGTATAAATACTACTATTAATTAATTAACAAACAGTAAAAACGTCGCAAATGACATCTTATTATAAGTAAATCTTTTATTTATAATGCTTGCAGTTCTAGAGATGTGCGTTATTAACGGAATTTTACAATATATATTTTTTAACAGCACTTAAAATAATTTTTTAAACATTACAAAATAGAGAATCCCTAGTGTTTGCCTCAAAAATCAAGAACAGAGTGACCATTAGTCACATCTACAACAGACCCGTCAATATCGCTCCGTCGGCAGCGTTTGAAAGCGACAAAACGGCACTCGAGTCGGGGTTTGGCTTCGGACAGGAGTTGGAGCCGCTGGACATCGACGGCAAGTTTGATCACTCTATGAATGTCAGGCGTCTATTGTCTGAACTACTACTGGAGGACTGCGCGGACACAACTGTCCAGCGATGCAGTGGTGGAGAGCGGAAGCGCCTGACAGTGGGTCTGGAATTAGTACAACAAACCAAACCCAACCTCTTATGTATTGACGAACCGACGAGTGGTTTAGACAGCAATTCAGCAGAAATTGTATATTTTTTTGTTGCCATAAATCTTATTAACCTTAAATCCCACATATAAACTCCGCACCATAAAATATAATTTTATAAATCAATTTATTAATTAACAAGTAATTTTTCAACTTACAGTATTAGTGTTGTTAGTAATTAAGAAATATAAATTAATCTTTAAATACTTATATTATTCAAATATTATATTTATTTTTATAAATAGAGTACTGTATATACTATGTATGTTTAAGTCCAGTAGTCGTTTTACCATAAAGTCAAAAGTTCTAACATAAATATATTAGTTAACAACTAATTTTTATTTTGGTTGTTTTAATTATTGAGGTAATCCAATGTTTGAAACATTTGACTGAAAAACATGAGATGGCAATCGTCACGTCAATACATCAGCCAAACTCTCTAATCCTATCACTCTTTGACCAGTTGTATGTCCTGTCAAAGGGTGGTCACTGTGTATACGCCGGTCCGTCCGCTCAGATCAGGGCACACCTCAACAGTTGCGGCATTGCCTGTCCGGTAGAGTTCGCACCCATTGAGCTCATGCTGAAAATCGCGTCCAAATTTCCAAACAAAGCTTTATTAACCGTCGGTTACGTATCTATTGAGAGATCACCGGTTAGCTTTTCATTTATATTTTTATTTATTTAGTTACGCCTTAACACACATTAAATATATTTTATAAACATTTAATTATATCCAACAATTAGTGCGGCGAAGGGATTGAAGAGTCGGGCGATGCCATCGATAGACTAATTGAGAGAACAAAGCATTTGACAAATGAGTTACGAGACGAATGTCGACGAGACGGACAATTGATTTCAAAGTCAATCCACGGAAATAAATTACATTTTAATTTCTATCACTTATATTACCTGACATTAAGGGGTTTTGTGCGCTTTGTAAGTATGTTTACAAGTAATTTACTGTTAGTAATAATTTATGGATTAATTATAGCGAGTACTATTATAACTCATTGAAAGTAATCTCTTATTGTTAAATGAATTCAATCATTGTTTTTAAACGCCAAATATCAAGGTCAAATACGATTATATGGCGAGTCTGGCGCTGTTAATATTTTGCATGGCATTAACGATTGCATTCAGCTATGTATACGACTTCGATGTCGGTCAGCGCACCGCCTGTATTGACCGGTTAATCGCCCACAACAACACCCAAACGGCACATGAGTTGTACGCCAGGCGGGCATTAAAATTGGTGTCCACCGAGTTATCACTGATGGACAACATTAGATTGTTGTTTTATGGACACGTGTCCATTGGCCTGATGTCTGTATCCATCAATTTACTCATATTTCCGCTCGAAATCAAGGTATTTATGAACGAACACCGAAACCGGTGGTACTCAACCGGCGCCTACTATTGGAGCAAATGTGTCGTTGAATTACCCGTATTAGTGATTATTGGAGTCATCTATTCAACAATGATGTACTTCATCAGCGATCAGGAGTCGGACGCATTCCGGTGGGCGTACTTTACAATGATCGCGGTAATTTTAAAATTAATTTATACTTTTAACTATAATAGTGTTTGCGTAAATGAGCGCAATAATTTATGCTTAAAATTATATAATATAAAGTACTATTATACATATTATCATATGATATGATTCATATCTATGTATGTAATTATAGTAAATTTAAGTATTTATACAGTAATAGCTTTACATTGTATATTGTTTTGTTGGAATCGTTGTTACTGTTATGGTTTGCATTGTTAACATTGTTTTGATTATATAAAAAAATTATATTTTTTATAGACGGGAGGAATGTGTATCGTTGCGGGTACGGGCAGTATATTTGGCATAATATTTTCCACTAATTATCAATTGGCGGCGACATTAGGTATCGGCTATTATATGCTATCTTACGTGATAAATGGTTTCTCTCTACGACTCACAACCGCCGAGTGGTTCACCCGTAAAGTGAGTTATATTTTTTACCATAGATTCACATTTTATGCCACAATGATTGCTATCTATGGCTACGACCGGTGCGAAAGCGGGCAATTAAATCTAGCACTTAATAAATATCAGTTGAATGATGACGATATGTGGGAAAATGTTAACTGGATGATAGGTATTTGTATTTGTCGCCCTGAAAATTATGGCCTTTTAAATTGTTAATTGTATTTAATTGTTGTCACCTAGGTCATTTGGTGGTTACTCGCTTACTCGCACTGTTTGCTTTAATGCTGAAAGTTAGGTATTCGTGAGCGTGTGATGCTTGAAAATTTACGACCTTTTTGCATTATATGCATAGTTATTTAATATTATTGTAATATATTAATCACTCTTTACACTAAATCTATATTTATATTTTAAAATAAAAATGCCGATGAAAACGGAAATGATTATTATTTTTGTAATAACAGAATAACAAGTAGGGTAACAAGTTAAGCTATATGTACAAATCTCCAACACGACTTAAAGTACTTGGTAATTGTTTTTTGAACCCATTGACATTATGTTAATTATGTCTTAACAAGAATCAAGTATGATGTCAAAGTTAATTATTAATTGTATATTAAATATTGAATAGTAATAATATTATAACCTAAATTGTTACAATGTAATTATTTAGAATTAAAATTATAGCGAATTTTATTTTTGTCACATTATTTTTGTAATGTTACATACATATGTCTCACACATTATCTTCATTAAGTATAATATATGCAATTATGACTAAATGATTTTCAAATTATAAATAAATACCATGAGCATATGGTAAAAATGCGATGTTTTTAGTTGAATGTTTTAGCTGAAGCTAAGTTAATACTTAAACGGTTAAACATTTAATAATAATAACATAAGCATTAATATTTATTCTTAAAATGGTTATATTTGAAAGCGTGGTAAGAAAATTATGATTTAGATTAATAATATTTTAAATTATATAAAAAGTGCAACCTCTCCAAAGGAAACGAACAGCTGCATAGCCAAAATGTTTCTTATAGAGAGGGTTTCTCCAAAGGGAGGTTTGAGTAAAAATGTCTAATTTTTAATTAATATTTGAATGATTTTATTAATAATAAAAATTATTGAAAATATACAATAAATGTAGTTTGTTTAGTTTATTAAAGTAACAATTAAATTGTGCTACTTTTTCGAAATTTTTAGATTTTCTTAATTTGTATTCCTTTTCAATTATTACTTGTTGTAACTTTATTTTTAAAACATTTGATTTGTTATTTAGTTTGTGTTTAATTTTATATTTATTTCTTCATGATCAATTTAGAGTAAAGTTAAAAATACAGGCCATAAGTATAATGTGAATGAGTTGGCGATGGGTTGGTGTGACTTGAGATACGGCCGAAAGGGTCTGTTTGGCCGAAATCGTGAGCCGAACACTATTTTGCACGCATTGAACGGTAGAATCACTTTCCACTCATTGACGGCACTCATGGGTCCGTCGGGTGCGGGAAAGTCAACGC